CACTTGGCTGATATTAAATTACCAGATGTGGACATAAAAGAAATATCAATTTTAATCGGAAAGGATGTTGATGGGGTACACGACATATATGAATTTCGCAAATCTCCAAATTCCGACAAACCCTTGCATGGGATTCTAGGACCACTAGGCTGGGTCATTACTGGAACGCTCGGTGAACCTGTAATGAACAAAGAAGTTAATGTGAATTATATTGACTACAATCATGACTATGATTTAAATGACATGGTTAAGAAGTTCTGGAAAATTGAAGACTCAGGAATTAATAGATCAAATGTCTCTGATAAATCCCTATCTATAGAAGATAAACGTGCCATAGACATTATGGAAAAAACTACAGTATTGTCTGATGGACACTATGAAACTGGTTTATTGTGGAAAAATGACAATGGAAAACTGCCAAACAATAAACCACAAGCTGAACATAGACTAGCATCTTTAAAATGAAGATTCGAACACGATTCTGATTACAGAAAAACATACTTTGATAATATGAATGATAGTATTTTCGAAGAACATGCAAGAAAATTAAGTGAATCTGAAGTTTTGTCCACGTCAGACAGAACTTGGTATCTACCTCATTTTGGTGTTGTGAATCCTAAGAAACCAGGGAAATTGCGTATTGTGTTCGACGCTGCTGCACAATATCAGGGAACTTCTTTAAACAAGAATTTACTTCCAGGACCAGATAGAACAAATAATCTTGTGGGCGTTATTCTTAGATTTAGGCAAAAAAATATCGCTCTATCGGCTGATATACAGGGAATGTTTCATCAGATCAAGGTTCGCGAACAAGATCAAGACTCCCTGAGATTCCTTTGGTGGGACTCTGATGACATAAACTTAAAGCCCTCAGAATACGCATTTTGCAGACACATTTTTGGGGCTACTGACTCGCCCTGTATTGCAACGTCAGCACTAAGAAAAACAGCTTCAGACAACAAAAAACTTTATAATGAACTGACTATAAAAACTGTAGGTAAAGATTTTTATGTTGACGACTTGTTGACATCGGTGCCAACTGTAGGCATAGCGATAGAATTAGGACACAATTTAAGTGATTTATGTGAAAAAGGTGGTTTTAACCTAATAAAGTTCAACAGTAATAGCAAAGAAGTATTGTCAACATTTCCTGCAGAAAAACTAGCAGAAAAAAACATTGATTTAGACTTTGAGGAATTATCGAAAACAAAAGCTTTGGGAATTCAATGGAATGTAGAAAACGACACTCTGGGGTTCGACGTTGTCGTTCTACAAAAACCTAATACGATGCGTGGGGTTCTATCTACGATTTGTAGCGTTTTTGACCCACTGAGTATAATTGCGCCAGTACTGCTACCGGCAAAATTGATAATGCAGGAACTGTGGAGGAAACAGTGGAAGTGGGACAAACCTTTAGAAGGACAATTACTGGACAGATGGTTAAAGTGGAAGAACAATTTATACAAAATAGAACATGTAAAAATTCAAAGGTGCTATTTTAGTAATATTGAACTTTCTAATTGTACTTTACAGTTACATCATTTTTCAGATAGTTCAGAATTTGCATATGGATCGGTGTCCTTTTTACGTATCCAATATGACAATGGCGAAATAGAATGTAGATTTATCATTGGAAAATCACGTAATGCACCATTAAAAGTTGTTAGTATACCACGCTTAGAACTACAGGCAGCAGTACTTGCTACCAGAATGAACACATTTATTGTGAATGAACTTGAATTAAAATTTGAATCCATAACATTTTGGACGGATTCTATGATCGTTCTAAATTACATAAATAATACCAACCGAAGATTTAAAACTTTTGTAGCTAACAGAGTAACTGAAATACACGAATCAACTATAACTGATCAATGGAAATATTGTCCGGGTACTGAAAACCCCGCTGATGATGTCAGTAGAGGAATGAATCCAGAACAGTTAAATATTCATAACAGATGGTTATCTGGACCGGAATTCTTAAGAAAACCGGAAAGTGAATGGACACATTCCCAACTTCAGGACATTCCTTTAGACAAGTTAGAAATTAAAAAGGAAGTGAATTTTACAAACATCGATTCTGAATCATCATTATTATACATGTATGTAATTCAGAAATATTCAAATTGGACAAAATGTTTGCGTGCCTTTGCTTGGCTGATTAAATTTGTCGATTGGATTGGATTGACGAACGTTGAACGATCAAAAATGAATAAAACTTTGTCTTTAAAAGAAATAGAATTAGCCAAACGAAAAATTATAGGCTTGGTTCAAAACGAATGTTTTGGCGAAGATATGAAAGCGTTAAAAAGTAATACTTCTGTTAAGTCTTCTAGTTCTATTATTAGTCTAAAACCTGTGTTAAGAGATAATGTAATTTGTGTTGGTGGACGCATTTCAAAAGCGCCCATTTCTCTAAGTGCTATGCATCCAATGATTATTCCAAGAAAAAATAATTTGACAAAAATGATTATTCGACATATACATGAAACCAATGGACATTGTCCCCGCGAAGAAACGCTATCAATTATTCGTGAAGAATTTTGGATTGTGGGAGGTAGGGCAGCTGTATCAGAGACTGTCGGCTCGTGTATAGTTTGTAAGAAACATTTATCTCCTACACTGAGACAACAAATGTGTGAATTACCTAGTTCGAGATTAACGCCCTTTGAACCCTGTTTTACGTATACCGGAGCAGACTTATTCGGACCGATCCTAGTAAAACGTGGACGAGGACGAGTAATGGAGAAACGTTGGGGTGTATTGTTCACGTGTATGAACTCACGGGCAGTGCATTTAGAAGTAGCTCGTTCGCTTGAAACGGACGATTTCATCCTGACTTTAATTAGATTTTTGAATCGAAGAGGACATGTAAAGGAACTAAGGACCGACAATGGATCTAATTTTGTTGGTGCCGATAAGGAATTGCGTGATTTATGTAGAAATTTGAAAAATTAACAGATTGAAAGAGACTTAAGTAAACGCGGTGTAAAATGGATTTTCCATACGCTTTTAGCTCCTCATACGTCAGGAGTATGGGAGAGCTTGGTAAAAGTGGTAAAAAGGAGTTTTAAAACTGTCTTAAAGGAACCAGTAACAGATGAAATTTTACAGACTGTATTCACTGAAGCGGAATACATCGCAAACAATCGACCTTTAACAAAGAACCCAATGACGCCTTATGACTGTGAACCCCTAACCCCAAATCATTTTCTAAACATAAGACCTTCTTTAAATATTCCTCCTGGAATAGTAAGTCAGTCAGATCGATTTCATAAAAAGCGATGGAGACAGGCTCAATTACTTTCGGAGCATTATTGGAAGCGATGGCCGAAGGAGTACATACCTTCGTTACAAAACAGACAAAAAATGGCATTTTTAAGAGACCGATAACCAGGCTGTGTTTTTTAGAAGCCCATAACCCTAATTTGTAAAAAAAAAAAAAAAAAAAAAAAATTGTTGAATTAGAATGTTGAAAGTTTGAAAGATTTGTTTGAAAGATTACTTTATAAGATGTGTTTGAAGATTTGTTCAAAAGATTATTTTATAAGATGTGTTTTTAAAAATACATGGTTAGAAAGATTTGTTCGAAACATTACTTTGATATGTGTTTGAAATAATTAGTTTGAAAGATCTGTTAGAAAGATTTAATTTGATATATTATATTAGGTGATGAAGCTGTCTTAAGAGAGACCCTTCATGGGGGGGGGGGGGCGGAATGTTGTCTCCATTATGCATGATGACCACTTTTTTATTTTGAGCAATGTAACAAAGTAGTAATTAATGTGTTGGTGGGCTAGAACCGAAGCTCTGTCAGGTTGCTTAGCAACATAGCCATGTTGAATTTTTTTTGGAAATCAAGGCACCAGCACTGTTGAAAGCCCTTGTTGAAAGCCCTTGTTGAAAATTGTTGAAAAAGATGAATATGAATATGTTTTAAGTTCAGAAAAGTCACCAATTAAATGTGAGTTTTTGACTGTTTATTATGTAGACCATTCTTTTTTAGAATTAAGGTAAAGTTTTGTAGAAAAACTGTAAAATAACAAGTTGTTGGAAAGTTCAGCTATTTAATCTCGGCTATCTAATCTCAGTTATTTAACCTCTGACCCCGGCAGGTCCCTTTTGCTGTGGAATGCAAGACAAAACATTGTTTTCAAGGGAGATAACTACTATTAATAATATATGAAAATCCTTGTAATTTATAATACTTAATTGTTTTTAATTGTTATATTTTGCAGCGAATCTCACTACCTCACTACCTCATTCACTTACTCATTTACTGATTCACTCGTTAAGATGTTGAAAGATGTTATGCTTATTGTAGAAAGACGTTATGTTTATTGTTTGAAATATGTTATGCTTATTGTTGAAAGATGTCGAAAGATAATGAAACTTGAATTTTTAGTGAGATCTCGAATTTTTGGTGATTTGTAAGATGAAAACATTGAAACGAATATGTGTTTATCCGAATGAACAGGATTGCACGTAACCGAACCTTACAGACACATTAAGCATTATGGCTATTGCTCGCTGTGTAGAACCCATTTGAAGCATGCCAATAGAACGTAGGAATTCATCATGTTGAAGACGTCTCATTGCAAATTATACGTAACACACTACAGCAAAGATACGCTAAACAGTAAATCTTATGCAAGAACCGGATAGCAAACATGGATAGGATAAACCAGCAGGCGGCAGTTGTCGTCAACCCTTCCTTGGAGTGTCAAATTTGACAATGAACCCCGTCCACGTGCATCTCAGTGGTTCTTCATCTGTGAACATACTCTCAAAGCATGTCAAGTGTCCATGCATGATTATTTATCATATCACAACCTGCATAGGTATTTTCATTTCAATATCCCCTACATTTTTTGAAGAGTATATATTGACTTATTACATTGAACTTGATAACGATAAGAGGATAAAACATTCTTTACAAAACGTATTACTGTGGGTCCACACTGTATAGAATTAAAGTTAAGTAATTGATACTCTGTAAATGTTTTTATTCATGAGTTTACAATTATATTGTCATATATGAATAATATTATAATAACTCCAGTAATATATACATATACAATCCAAAATACACAACAACAAACTGACCAAGTCATTTTAATACAAATAATATTTACAAAATACATAAAACAGAATTACTTTCCTGGTTTCTATAGATGTTTTGGATATATGATATATTAGATGTTTATGTTATATATTGTTTGGGACTCATCCAGATGGGGCAGGCGAGGGGAGGGTGGGGGCTGATGAAACAGGGGTATAATATTCCTAAACATGAAAGTTGAAGTATTGTTTTGAGTGGCATTTGGTAATTGAACAGTAACACAATATAAACTATTTATGTAATAACAATTGCTGCTTTATTAACACATTGTTAATTCATAAACATTATTCAGTGCACAATAATTATTTAGCTTGTTCAAATTATATAATATATTATTATTTGCTAGATAAAGACGAGAGAATAATCTTCGAAACGTTGTTACAAATATAGAATTTTTTATAAATAATCCAGCAATGATTATAGTGAAGCCACTGTGGTCTTCTTGTATCCGAACGTTGTTCTGTGGTTAATTGACACCTGTCTTAGGACAGCTTGAATAGTGAATGCCCCAGACCCTACCCTGATCTGAAGTGATTTTAATAAAGACTGATAAAGAATGGGATACGATGACCTATGGTCGACAACAACAATTTAAAAACAAAGACAATAATATAGAACAGACAATATTATACAATAAATTATGCTGATATGACAGTAATAATTATATAAATAAACAATAAACACATCAAGTTATAAAAATATGAAAGAACTTTCTTTTTCTTATAAAAAGTAAATTATATTACCCTGTTCATGAATTTATTGCTTCAATGTTAAATACCATGGTGTAACGGAGGGATAACATGGGGAAAATGAAAGGGAGATGAAAGGGTGTGTGTGTGTTGGGGAGGGGGTGGGGGTTGTGATGAAGATGAAAGGGTGTTTATGTGTGTGTGTGTGTTGGGGAGGGGGGTTGGTTTGTAATGAATTGTTGGGGGTTGAAAACGGGAATATGAAACGAATAATGGGGCAGATGAAAGGGAATGATTTGATGAGACAAGCGATACAATGCGAGAAACGGATTGGGGAGGGAAAAATGAAAATGAGTGGAATGAATGAGGAAAGTGGAAGTGGGAAATGAACAGGAATAATTGGCACATAAAAAGGTGGAATAATGAAGAGTTATGGAATTATGGAATGAAAATGGATGAATGGGAAAAATGAAAATGGAATCTGAAAAGGATGAAAATGAACATGGATAATTAGAGGAGATTAGAAGGACTACATGTTTACAATGGAGAGTGTGAATGAAAATGCAACCTACAACTACTGTAAAAGAAAATCAAGACCATGATGGAAAAGAGAGATAGGAAAGACAAATAGTAAAATATATTGATTAATCTTAGGACGGAAAGGGGAGATAATATTCACCAACAAATGAAAGGGTAAAAATGTGCTTAATGTAAGGGGGTGATAACAAAATGAAACGGTAAAACAATAGATGATAATGACACATGGCAAAAAATGATGACAATAATAGTTATGATGATGATGATGGTGATGATATGTCTGGGATTGTGACAATGATGTCCTCAGGGAAATGATAATTAATGGTGATGCTGATATATAGAAACATTCATGATGATGATTTTCAAGATGGATTATAAACGCAGATGATAATGATAAAGATATAAGGGATTGTGACAATGATGCAGGGAAATAATATCGATGATTGATGCTGATTTTGATAATAAAACCATAAACCTTGATAATGATTCCTGATTGATTTTAATTTTAATTGAAACAATATTTTATTCATTTGAAACGAACCGAACATTCTATTCTAAATTCACGATGGACTATTGATAACGATGAATCCCAGGAAAAATGATGTCTTGGAAACATAATTATGATGATTAACGATGATGATTAACGATGATGAAAATGATGATGATGATGATGTAATGATGAAGTAATATGGTGATGATGACGAAGATAATTCTGTCTGAGAACGATAATGGTAATGATGATCACTCTTTGAATAGTAACCATGACAATTTATTTCTCTATATCTTATTATCAGAGAACAAATTCTTAACAAATCAAATCACCATGTTTCTTAAAAATAATACTGGTACTATAGTTTTACATCATACTAATCGGTTAGCACTTCAACTTCAGTTTGTTTATTATATTGAAATATCACAACAAAAATAGAAAGCCGATCTTCAATAACATGTATCGTGACGTTTGGATTGATGAATGTGCCATCACAATTTCACTGGGTAATGTCTTAAAACTTGCGCTGAATATTAGGACAAATGTTATGTATCTTATACTTGGCGTCAAATGTCTAGAACATGTCATGCTATGGGTCCCCATTGAATTGTTAGTGGTAAATTCTTTTGCCAAATGGGGGAACCCACGTAGTCACACTGTTCATCGTTTTAAAACTTGACTATGTCTCATATGAGATCATTAATACATTATTCCTTTGAACCATCTATAAATATTTCTTTCATCATCTACCAATGTTTCTTTTATGATGAAATTTATAAGTCACATCCCATGTTGATTCAGGTCGAGCGTCACATGTTAAAAGTAAAGGAATTTCATGATCTTCACTTCCAAGACATAATTCACTTCCCGTTTGCTGAATTTGCTGACCCTGTAAAAAATAATTTTTATAACTTCTAAAATAACTGAATTTACAAGATAACTATCTCACATTTAAAAGTTCAACACAGTTTTTAAGACCGTGCAAAAATAATTGTACTATTTGACTTTTAAAATAAGCGAACAGTAGGACGTTAAACTCCATTTCATTTCATTTCATTTAAAATAAGGGAATGACAAAATTAAATACGACTTTTATATCTCTATTGACGATATGTATCTAAGTATACTGAAATAAAAACAAATGGTGTTTAATTTCCTTCTGTTCTGCTCGGATTTGTCTAATGAAGACATGGCAATACCATGTCGTATGGTATGAGCGAAATTTTGCCCAGAGAGCGGCGCTCCAGCCTACTTTTAGATCACCTTTCAACAGTCAAGTGGTCTTTTTCCTGCAGGACAATGTCAAGTCCTCCATCCTTGGCCAACGCCTTGAGCAAATCCTTGAGACCCATCCCCCCACCCCCGACTAGTGGGCCAGCGTTTTACTCACAGGGCCACTGTGGCTCCCGAATTATTTTGGAGAAACTATCAATGAAATGTTTTTGTTCACGCACATTTTTCGTCTCATTGACCATTGAAAATAGAACTTGAAAAATCTCGGGCATTCAACTGGAGAGTACTTATATAGGTGTCTCAAATGAGAAATCAGTGATCTACATGGTTACCCCTAAATCATAAAACTCTTGCATACCTGTAATTTCCATATATGGTGACCACATGCACCTAGATATAATTTCTTATCGTCTGTCCGGATGCAACTATTGTTGTCATCACTACTGTTATATAGGTGAAGGTTGCCATGAGAAGTCAAACTAAAAACCTGAATAACAAAAGTATTACAGGAATTATACAGGTAAGATACATGTTTAATGTGAAAATATAAATTACGATTCATATAGTGTGAAATGAAACTAAATGAAATGGGGTTTAACATTCTACTGTTCTGCACCTATACTGGGCTAATGGAGACAGGTATACATCATACAGTGTGCTAATGGAGACAGGTATACACCATACAGTGTGCTAAAGGAGACAGGTATACACCATACAGTGTGCTATGAGGGATAATTAAGACGGACATAAACACCATGCAGTGTGTTATAAGGGGAATCTAATTCAGATCTTGGTTTTCTGTACAAACAACTACACACTGTCCTATGAATGGGATTCTAGATATAACCATTCACATAACTCATATTTTATGGGAAAAAATCACTGGTTTTATTCTAAAAGCACCACGTTTCGACAAGTATCCCCTTATCCTTATCATTGTGCTTGATAGCAATAGGAGGATATTTTTTGAAATGCCATGCTTTTAGAATAACTCTGAGAATGTAATATTTTGCGGGAGGGGGGTCATTCTTATTACAGACCTGAGGCTGGGGTAAAACATTAAAGTCGACTAAAATAAATTAAGAAAGAAAATGTTTAAACCTGCCGAAATCCAAATTTACCTGAGTATTTTTCTGTCCTTGACAAGCTGAGAGAATTATTCTTCCATTTGCTTGGACAGTAAGGCACTGTAAAGACAACTGATGACGAAACTACAAAAAACAGGAAATAAGTATTAATGAAGAAGAGGATATGCCATACAGTGCGAAATTTTACTTGCCCAGCCGCGTGACAATCTAATTCTGATTTATACCTGCCTCAGGGTGTCTTAACTGTGCTGTCAATGGTCTACAATGTGCTGTCAATGTGCTGTCAATGGTCCTTACTGTGCTGTCAATGGTCTGCTATGTGCTGCCAACGGTCTAAAATGTGCTGTCAATGGTGTACTATGGGCTGCCAATGGTCTACAATGTGCTATCAATCGTCAATACTGTGCTGGCAATGGTCTACATCTTTTAAATCCTAATTTACAACACTAACTAGGTTAATAAAGATGCCATGCAGTGTGAAATGAAATGAAATGGGGGTTTGATGTTCTACTCCGACTGGGCTACTGAAGAAAAGCGTATGCTATACAGCGTGCTATGGGGTCAATTTTGCTCTGACAGCGGCGCTATAGCCTACTTTTATATCGAATTCCAACTGTCAAGGGTTCTTTAACGTGCACACAAATGTGTATACTGGTCCTCAGCTTTTCGTCCTATAAAAAATGACTATTAGTTGTCCCTTGCCAGGCCCTAGGACCTTGTTTTTGCTTTTATCCCATCCAAATGAACAGACACTCATCTAGCACTAGCGACTAGGGGAAACCCCACTGGAAAATCTCAAATGGTACGAGATCTAACCTGGGACCTTCTTGTTCGTGATGTAACATGGCTCCAGTAACTATGACAACAAGAACATAACCTACCTCTCCGAATGCCAGATCTGATTGGTCAGGGACAGGTAACTCTGGTATAACATTCTGTAAATACCATTTAAATCTTTTACATTTTAATCTGGTACGTAAAGTCTGTCTTTCTTGTATATCACCTACTTCTACTTCATCTATATTCTGCAAAACAAAATCAATCAATAAGCGATTTTGATATCCATCTATAAACATCCCTGGCACAACCTGTATCAAATATAATATACAAGTCATCCAGTTATAAAATGAAATAAAATAGGGTTTAACGTCCTACTGTTCGCTCTGACTGAGCTAATGAAGAAGGGGATGCGCCATATAGGGTGCTATGAGGGAAATTTTGCCCGGACAGCGACGCTATAGTCTACTCTACGATCAAATCCCAACTGCCTAGTATTCTTTGACATGCACGCCAATGTGCACACCCGACCTCTGTTTTTCGTTTCATCTTAATGACAATATGTTGTCCCCCTCTGTCCTGCACCACGACTGATCATCCTGATGAACTTTTTGGGGCAACACTACTGATCAAAAACAGAACCTCCATGTTAGCATTCCAACGTCTTATTCACTGAGTCACGGTGGCTCAATAAGGCATATTAGTCTTTGAACACTTATATAATAAACTATTTTACGCGCCAGAGCCAATAGTTATCTTCCCTTTGCCCCAAATCAAATCACTCATTACAGCAATCTGTAACTGGATGATAAATACTTCATTTCTGGGAAATATATTCTAACAAGTCAAATAGCTCATAGAAAGTGAAATATTTACCAGTTAATTACCAGGTTGTATTTATAAAAAGTGAAATATTAATCAGTTAATTACCAGGTTGTATTTATAGACAGTGAAATATTAACCATTTCATTACCAGTGAGTATTTATAGAAAGTGAAATATTAATCAGTTTTACCAGGGGGTATTTATAGAAGGTGAAATATTAACCAGTTTATTACCAGGGAGTGTTTATAGAAGGTGAGATATTTACCAAAGAAGAATAAAATATATTTTTGTAATCATCCATCCATACTTCTGCTACACGTCGTAGATTTCTAGCAACCGTCTGTCGTCCCCCATCAGGGAAGCTGTGTGGTAGAACGCTGCGGAACACGTGACCTACTCTCGAACAGGGTAAAATCTCCAACAGACCTCCACACATCCAAGCCTGAAAGTAAAATCAATTAGGATTAGTACAGTTCCGATGTGCCATTTGCATTTTGTCAAAACAGTATAAAAATAACTCAGTTCAATTTAATATTTACAAGGGTATGATGAATTGATATTTATCAACATTCAGAATTCTCAAATATGGCTCTACCAGGTCTCGTAATTTGAGAATAAAATTGTGCAAAAATGGAATCCTGAATAAGTTATGACATATTGATATTTATCAGCATGTTTAAATATGTCTCTGTCGGGTCTCGTAATTTGAGAATAAAATTGTGCCAAAAATGGAATCCTAAATATTGATAAAGTTCGTCCTGAATCTTCCTGTAATGGTCTGAACACTTCACACCACATATCCTGCTGACAAGTATTTCAAGCCTTGTGGGTAGCTTTCAGCAAACAAGGGGCATAACTCTATAGATATTAATCTGATATAGAGGACAATAACTAGGAATCAATTTATCATAATACAAAGTGTCAGAAAACTCTGATGAAAAGTCTGGACTGTATATTATTGCTGACAATCATTAGAAGCAAACAAGGGGCATAACTCCCCTTATTAATCTGACTTTGACGAAATGAAATATTAATTTCTCATCTTACCACTATAACAGCTTCCTGAAGGTTTCAGAAAAATATGTTGTGCTGACAAGCACTACATGCAGTACATACAGGTTTCAGCAAAAAGGGGCATAACTCTTAATATGTGTGCTTGTAAAAATCAATGTCACTCAATGTACGTATAAGCACCATAGTTCAAACTTCCGTACTTGTTGGCCCGCAGCTTCAATGAGACAGGAAACCAGTTCACGCTTCTGGTGATCGATTAATTGTGGCTGGTATCCAGTTTTCTCTGATTTCGGTTTGTATTTTAGAAAGTTTGCAGTTTATAAGCCTTTATAATCACAAGTCGAAGAAGTGTTAATCAAAGTTATCATCACTTATTTTGTCCTCGATTTTCAATGATTAACTGCAATAGGCATATGAAGCTCTTGTATAATGCATATTTTACTAATTTCACTCGATGAAAAGTGGTATTAAATTGTCTATCTCACCTTGTGCACGACACTTATAGTCTTGTGCATTATTCCCTTGTTGCTGTGGAAACACGTTTTGAACAAAGCACAAAATATTAAGGCCGCACAGAACATATATCGTTGCATCATATAAAAATTCCACATAGTTATAAATATCTTGCTGACATATTGTTGCCAAAAAAATGACATTTGCACACCATCTGATTTGTGTGCACACTAATTACTAAAATTTAGAGGAGGCATTTGTTCTATGTGTAATAGCATGAACCACACCACACACAAGACATGAGACATATATACAGATATCTCAAACAACAAACGTATCTATCAGATCAACTGAATTGATCCATTTTCAGTTACATTTACAATAACATCTATAGTAAAACAAATCTGTTTGTTGACATTCTGTAGTTTATCCTATTATTGTTTATGAATGTAGGCTAATGTTTATTATATAACTATAACTGTTATTGTTTATTATATGTCTTCACTATCGTTCTACATCAGTTATATTAACAGTAGTTTGTACAGTAAATATCTTGTTGTCACCAATAAAACCATTGTTTATATCTTGTAGTTCATCTAGGTTTATATAAACACTAGGAAATATATTATAACCACCAGGTTTACATGTATCTATAGCTTGTTCAACTAGTGATTTACTCTCATCATTGATATTTAACAGTTTCACTGTATAACTAGCTGTAAAAGCTTTAATAGTTTTATCTTCTACTTTCTTCAATACCGGGTAAATATATAATTCTGATGTATCATGTCTAACACGTACACACCATGGTAATCCTTGTATCATTACAACATCACTATAGTACACCATATCTGACTTCACCTGGTTCAAACTAAAACTACTGGTAAATGTTGTTGGTGTTTGTACTTGTACTTCACCCAGTAGTTGTTTTAAACTGACTACATCAACCTCCACCATAGAATAACATGGATGTCTGACTTCAAGTTTCTGTAAATTTGTTGATATGTTGTAATCTGTTTTGGTTTGAACATCTGTTAATCCATCTTTATCTACAGCTGTAATTATAGATTTATGTTGTAATATACGATCAGCATATTCACACCATTCTTTCATTTTAGATGTCATCTTGTCATCATCTTCTACTAGTTTGGTTAGTTTACTGTTTTCATCTTCACCAATTTTATTGATGTCATCTTTAATTGTTCCGCCCATCTTTTTGGCTTTTTCGCAAATATTGTCTATTTGTTTCTGAACTTGATCACAAGCTATCTTACACGAGTTGTTCATGTCAGATATTTTGGTCTTTAGAAAGTCAGAATGTTTCTGTAACTGTTTTATCTTCTTTTCTGATTCAGATTTCAGTTTTATGACAATTTCTCTCATTTCCTGGTCTACTTCATCTAAATCAGCTTTCGTATGATTTTCATGATCCACCATAACACAAACGGAACAGCATGGTTTGCAACAATTTCGACAATAAACTTCTATTTCTTTCGTCCTGTGTTTTGTACAATACTGTTTATCATCATCGTCATCTTCTAGATAAAAGTTGTTGACAAACTGACTGGCACCGCCTGATGGTACTGTGGTTTCTTGTCTACAGACAGGACAGTTAAACTTGTTGAAATGAGCATGAGCCTTAATAAGATCATCTATACATTCTTCACAGAAGGTGTGGTAACATGGCAGTAATTTAGGTTTAGTAAAGTTATTTAAACAAATAGAACAGGTATATTTAGACGCCATGTTAAAATCCCAGGAAATCAGAATAATAAATAATTACCGTTATAATAAATCAGTTGTACAAAACATCCGTTGATTAACCAAAGATCCAGTTAAAATAAAATATATTCTGTTGGGTGTGTGAACTCATATATGATTGTGTACTTGATCATCACGTGATAATATCTGGATAATCCGATTAGATCATATGTCAGTTAATGTTTACTTATCCCCATGTATTTGGTCTGTTGACTCAATCATTAACTTACAAAAGAGAGTGGAGAGATGGGGGTTTAACGTCCACTCGACACAAACTAGAGAGAGAGATAGAGACAGAGAGAGAGAGAAAGAAAGCGGTGGAGAGATGGTTTAAAAATTTTATTTCAATAATGCGCTTGCTCGTAAGGGTCTTTAGCAATGGGAGGTACAGGAGAAACCCCACGACGTAGGACAAGCGACCCTACTCATTGTCAGGTACAAGCGCGGTAGGGTGGGGATGGGGGGCTAACTGAAATGCATCAAGGGGCCTTCATTATTAAAGGGGCCCCAAAATTGGTTCCAAAAGCAATTTGTTGACATGTTATTTATATGATATAAGAATGTAACAGTATAACAGTGTAATATAACAGTTAACAGTGGTCATATTTCACCAAGGTTACATGACATCTGTGTGTCAAATAAATCTATCTATCCATATTGAAATAGATGTCATGTTACCTTAATCTGACCCTGGTGAAATATGACCACTGTTAACTGTTGGTCGAATGGTCCTGTTAGATGTTCAGCAAGAGGCCGCATGTAATCTTAATCCCACCCTTGAGAATAACACAAAGAAGGCTTCTAAAACCATACTCTAATATGATTAATGGTGTAAGACCCCTCGGCCTCAGCAACATTAACATATTCAACGTGTTTTTTGTTTTTGTCGTGGTTCTACTTTGTCGGTGATTCAGGACGGAGGGCCTGACAAAGACAGCTGTCTAGTCGTTCGGATGGGACGAAAACCCGATGTCCCGTGTACACGTGGGCGCGCACGTAAAAGAACCCTTGACAGTTGAAAGTCGATATAAGAGTAGGCCGTAGTGCCACTTTCCGGGTAAAATTTTCCTCATAGCACACTGTATGTCCTATATCCGTCGTCATTAGCCCAGTTTGGAGCAGAACAGTAGGACATAAAACTGCATTTCATTTCATTTGTGTTTGTATGCAACGTGTTGTTTGTCTTTGTATGCAACGTGCTGTTTGTGTTTGTATGCTTCCAACCGCATGGGTTTCTTCCGGGTCGTCTGGTTTCCTCCCACTGCTAAAGACCCCTACGCGCAAGCGAATTATTGAAATAAAATTAAAACATATGTTAGTCCAGAAATGACTTGTTTGTGTCGAGTGAACGTTACCCTCTCTCTCTCTCTCTCTCTCTCTCTCCCTCTCTCTCTCTTTCTCTCTCTCTATCTCGTCTTTAATTCATCCTTATACAGCTTCCAGTGTAATTAATTTGGTTATTTTACAGCGTTATTATTTACAAATTAAATTTGAAGCGCTATTTTTGATTTTATATAACCAGAAGTTGTAGGACAATATTTCTACTCATTTAGATGTATACATATATAGGATTAGACTGGAGTGAGGTTAAAACTATAGTAATGATCCTCACATTTAGATGTATACATGTATAGGGTTAGATGTGGAATGAGGCCACAACGGCGGTTATGATCCCCACATTTAGGTGTATAGGATTAGCGTGGACTGAGGCCAACACGATAGTAATGATACCCACATTTAAATGTATACATGTATAGGATTAGAGTGGACTGAGGTTAAAACGGTGATAATGATCCTCACATTTAGATATACACTGCGCGATCAGTGGCGGGTCCATTACCTATTAGATCCAACAGTGGAAGGGTCAGGGCTTGAAAATCATGATCGTTAAGCGGCATTTGTTTACTTTTTAATGTTATATCTCTGTAAATGGCCTCATTATGGATATCATACATATATATATATATTGACCTCAAGTTTACTAGTGTTTGCCGTCTTGATTAGCCCAGTCGGGGCAGAACAGTAGGACGTTAAATCCCATTTCATTTCACAGTGTACTTGATAACAATAACAGGATACTTGTTGATCTATTAGAATAAAACCAATGATTCATATCTCATGTTAGAAAATGTCTTACCAACTGATTTGTGAGGACAACATTATTATGCATGTGTCTGGTTATATTGACCCCAAGTTTAATAGTGTTTGTCGTCTAGTTGGAGTAGAACAGCAGGACGTCAAATCCCATTTCATTTCACAGTGTACTTGATAAAGATAAGATGTTACTTGTTGATCTGTTAGAATAAAACCAGTGATTGATATCCCATTCTAAAAAAAATGTCTTACCAACGGATTTGTGAGGACAATATTATTATACATGTGTGTGTTTACATTGTACGTATCAAGTTAAGTAATTGATACTCTGTGAATGTTGTTATTATATTGTCATATATTAATAATATTATAATAACATTAGTTATATATATTGCTGGATTCCACATTAAAATCTATTTACGTAATAAAAAATACTGGTTTATTAACATGCAACGTTTGGTCAATAATCCTGGACCATTGCGCGATAAATACGAGAGC